TCAAGACTACTTTTCCTCTTTCTGTAGCTTGTCCCTGACCCCTGCACAGCCCCGAGTACCTGCCAGAAAAGAAAACGTATGTTTTTGCCTTTCCTGCTCTTCTTGGAAGTCCTGCAGGCTGCAGGTGTGTTTAATGTCACCATCTCCTGTGGCGGGTGCTGTGGTGTAGTAGGTTATGCTGCTAGCTGCAGCGTTGGGACGCCAGTTCCAGTCCCACCTGCTCCACTTCCCTTCCAGCTCTCTGCTAATATGCTTGGGAAAGCAGTGGAAGACGGCCCAAGTGCTTGGGCTCCTGCACCCATGTGGAGGACCAGGCTCCTGGCTCTTGGCTCCACACTAGCCCAGCCCTAGCTTTCGTGGCCCTTTGGGAGTGAACCAGTGGATGGAAGACCTCTCTCTCTGCATCCGCCTTTCAAATAAATAAATCTTTCTTTTTAAGTGACCATTTTCTGTCTGAGTTGAATAACTATTTACATGTCCCTGTGTGGAGAGAACATCGAGGTGGGCTGGGATCCTAGTCGGTATTGAGCTGGCTGACACGGTCCTCTGCACTAACAGCTGCCCCCAGCAGGTCCCCCCATTGTGCTGCAGTCCGAGTCCACTCCCCACCGCGGGGTGCTCCTTTCTCCGTGGTCTCTGAGGGGTCATCTTCCTGGCCAGGGGCACTCTGGGAGGAAGGGAAGGACTGACTGTCGGGCTCGCTTTGCTTGTCCCTTCTATCCTTAGCTTGACATTAGACCAGCGTTCTCAGCGGCCCACTGCCTGCGTTTCCATGTCACTTCACAAAGGCCTGGCTCTAAATCTCTGCCTCATTCCGACTTCCCCTCTCCTTTCTGAACACCAGGCTGATCCCTCCCTGTGGTCCTTCCCTCCCTAGGAGAGGAGCCTTGTACTTGTTCCTGGGAGTCCTCTCCCCCTTTCTCCAGGAGAGGGGTCTGAGGAGGACACTGGGTCCAGTCTCCTGCCTGTGCCCACACTGGAGAGTTACCGCACCTGCACCTGCACACCTGCACCTTCCTCCCTATGCGCTCACTCCACTGCCGCTTCCTGCACTGGTTCACTGGCTCATGGATCCAGTTATTCCAAAGACACCTATTAAACTCCCACCAGGCACAGACGATTTTTCCAAGTGCACCGAGTGGGGTGGGCGGAGAGGGTTGGTGGAGGGAGGGGGAGAAGCTATTTCGTCTGCTTCAAGGAATCTGGTGTCTGGGCAGGCTGCGGGAGTTTGCTGGTAGAAAAGCTGATACTGCGGACACCGAGGTGACACATGGTTGGTACGAGGTGGTGCGAGTAATGTGCCTCGGGGTGTCAGAAGCCTGACCGGGCTCCCCTGCTGGGAGGATGGGGCTGGAGGGAGTGGGTGAGTGAAGGAGCCGGCCTTGGTGCCCTGATAAGATTTTTTTTTGAAACATTTATTTATTTATTTGAAAGGCAGAGTTATCGAGGTGGGGGCGGTGGGTATTCTGACAGGGAGGGAGGAGATAAGGGTGGATGGCCTTGGCCGAATGGACAGGCCACTCCTCCAAGAGCCGCACCGTGATTAATTTGAGGACTGTGTGGCCAGCACTCATTGTGGTTTGATGACTGTGGTCCACTCGCTGTGGTCCCTCTTTTACTTTTTTTTCTTTTCTAGATTTCTTTCTTTCCTTCTTTATTTAAAAGGCAGAGATACAGAGACAGTGGGAGACACACAGAGGAATCTTCCATCTGCTGGTTCACGCCCTGTATGGCTGCAATGGCCAGGCCTGGGCCAGGCCAAGGCCAGGAGCCAGGAGCTTTGTCAGGGTCAAGTACTTGGGCCATCTTTTGCTGTTCTGCCAGGCCATTAGCAGGGAGCTGGATTGGAAGTGGAGCAGCTGGGACAGGAACTGGTGCCTATGTGGGATCCCAGTGTCACAGGTGGTAGCTTTACCTGCCATGCCACAGCCACCAGCCTTGTGTCTTTCACTTTTTTACAGCAAAGTTTTTAATTAAAACAGAGACAGACCTTCTTGTCTGCTTTCTGACAAAACGCTAAGAAACTGAACACACAAGGAAGTGACTTCAAAAAGCTCAGGGAGAATGGAATTACAAGCCAAGTTTATTTTTGGGGAAACAGATGTGGCAATCCAGGACGGTTCTCTTACCATTCAGAGGGACCACCAACGTCCCTCAGATGCCACACGTCTACCACGCTTTGCTCCTCTGCAGATGCGGTCACTGCCTTGGGCTTGCCTGCTCGTACTTACACCTGGGAACCCTGCATCTTGTATGCATGTGGTGTCTGCAGTGCAGAGAGGTGACACCATTTCCACCCCTCCCTGCTTGCCAACTGACATCCAAAGAACAGGGGCTGGGTTTGCAACACCCACATCCTACGTCAGAGCCCTGGCTCCAGTCCCAGCTGCTCCACTTCCGATCCAGCTCCCTGCCAATGAGCCTGGGAGAGCAGCAGGTGCTAGCCCACGTCTGGGCCCCTGACACCCAGGTGGGAGACTTCAGGAAGCTCCTGGCTCCTGCTTTCCCCGGCTGGTACAGCCATCTGGGGAGTGGAGCAGCACATGGAAACCTCTCTCTCTCTCTCTTTTCCTCTTACTGCCACTCTGGCTTGGAAAGAAGGCCTTACAAAATGTGCATCTAGAGACCAGTTCCGGATTGAGCTGAGGTCAGAAGGCTGTTCAGTCTGCTGCACTGGGGACGTTGTCTTCCCTTTATCCTGACTCCTGTTTGTGGAGCTGGGCGCCTCCTCCCTGCCCCAGCCTCGCAAGCTGGCACCCCTCTCTCTACCTGCCACTTCCTTTCCTCCCTTTTTAATTATCTGTGTCTGTCTGGCCAACACCGTTGTCTCTGCCATCTCTTTCCGTCTCTCTGCCACTTCTGGCTACCTCTTCTCCATCCTCTTTCCATGCAATACATAAATATATGTACATTTATAAAACATATCCTTATGTTTAGGGAAAGTGGGATTAAGATAGAGTTTTTTTTTATCATGTTGTTGATAAAGAGTCTTAGTTAAAAAGTTTATTTGAAGGGTCGGCGTCGTGCTATAGTGGGTTAAGCCACCACCTTGCAGTACCAGCATCCTATGTGGGCACTGGTTCAAGTCCCAGCTGCTCCACTTCTGATCCAGCTCCCTGCTAATGTGCCTGGGAAAGCAGCAGAAGGTGGCCCAAGGGCTTGAGTCCCTGCTATACACATGGAGACCCAGATGTAGGTCCTGGCTCCTGTGTTCCTCCTGGCCCACCTTCAGCTGTTGTGGCCATTTGGGGTGTGAACAAGTGGATGGAAGATCTTTTTCTTTCTCTCTCTCTCTGTAACTCTTTTTTTTTTTTTTTTTTGGTTGTTTGACAGGCAGAGTGGACAGTGAGAGAGAGAGGGAGAGAAAGGTCTTCCTTTTTGCCGTTGGTTCACCCTCCAATGGCCGCCGCGGCCGGCGCACCGTGCTGATCTGATGGCAGGAGCCAGGTGCTTCTCCTGGTCTCCCATGGGGTGCAGGGCCCAAGCACTTGGGCCATCTTCCACTGTACTCCCAGGCCACAACAGAGAGCTGGCCTGGAAGAGGGGCAACGGGGACAGAATCTGGTGCCCCGACTGGGACTAGAACCCGGTGTGCCGGTGCCGCAAGGCGGAGGATTAGCCTAGTGAGCTGCGGCGCCAGCCTCTCTCTCTGTAACTCTTACAGATAAATTAGCACATCTTTAAAAACATTTGTTTGAGAGGCAGAGAAAGAGCGAGGAGCAAGCGCTCCCTTCTGCTGATTCATCCCTCAAATGCCTGCAACTGCGAGGGCTGGTCTGAGGCTGCCGTTTTGGGGCAGGAGCTCAATCCAGGTCTCCCGTGTGGATGGCAGGAGCCCAGCTACTTGAGCCATCACCTGCTTCTTCGCAGTCGGCGTTAGCGGGAAGGCGGAATCAGGAGCTTGCGCAGGGACGGAAACCCAGGCCCTCTGAGATGGGATGCCGGCACGTTAGCCCGTGTATTGGCCGCTAGGCTAGCTGCCCGCCCTGGGCATCTCAGCACTAATGCATTAGAAGAAACCCCCGTCCACAGAGCCAGGGTCTGCAACACCACAGTCTTGCCATTGGACTTATTTTTATACTCACCATCATTCTCTTCTTTCCACTTGAAAAGACTTGGTAGGAGGAGAAGGATCCGCGTTCTCACACTGTCTGTGCCAAGCGCCTGGCCTCTTGGTGAGTGAGCCATGGGTTCCAGCAAACATTAAACTTTGAGGAGTATGATGGAAATCGGACTTTGGCTGAAATTGGGCAAAACACCCTCTGTGTTGGGGGAGACGCCAGACGACATCCTCGGCCCGTGTGACACGGGTCTGTCGGAGCTGCCGACTCTGCGTCAGGCGTCTGGGCCACTTGCGGCCCGTCTCCTGCACATCTGCATGGCGTGTGTTTTTGTGCATGGACTGCGACGTCTCAGAGAGAAGCTGGAACCAGTTGGAACCAGTTATGAAACCACGTTGAACAAATACAGTTCCTAAGCAAAGCCAGGTTCTGCTCCCTGGGAACCCCAGGCTGGTGGAGAGCTGGGGTTGGCTTCAGCGCTGCGCGGCGGCAGGCCACAAGCCTGCGGGCTGGAATCGCGTCTACTCTCGGCAACTCCCGCAGCCGCGGGGAGGACGAGCCCCGGCATGCAATCTGCCGCCCGCTGGGCGAGAAGGACCGGTCACCCGCAGACGAAGCTGGGGCTGTGAGCCCAGTGGTCAGAGAAGCCGAGGGTCGGCCGGGCTTCCGTGGCCTGTGCGTCTTCTTGCTAAGGCAGCTCCCACGGGAGACAAAGTTGGCAGCCGAGACCGTGTGGTCACGAAGTGACGGAGGGCGCCGGCCAGACAGCTCCCAGCAGTCGCCACTGCGTGTGTTCCCTGTGACGAAGCCTCGTCAGGCCACTCTGCAAACTTCCGGTCCAACACTTCCGGAGACCGTGAACTTCCGGTCCAACACTTCCGGAGACAGTGAACTTCCGGTCCAACACTTCCGGAGACTGTGAACTTCCGGTCCAACACTTCCGGAGACTGTGAACTTCCGGTCCCCAAGCTTCCAGAGATTGCAAACTTCCGGCCTCTCTGGAAACTTCTGGTCCTCAAGGTAAGCTGTGGCATTCAGGCTGCTTTTCCTTGTGACGGCATGCCTCGTTTCTGTGGGCACTTTGGTAGAAAATGGAGTGAAAAGTCTATTCGGTGTCTCCCCGCCCCAGGCTTTTCCCATGAACTTCCTGGAGACCCCTTCCCGAGGAAGGTCCCAGGTGGAAGCCCGCGAGGCACCGTGAGATGGGGCAGTGCTCATTCAGGAAATGGAGTCATCAGTACTACAGCGCCCAGGCCGGCGGCCCTTCCGGTAGAATGGCTCCGAAGCAGGAAGCAATGCGTCCGTTTGCGTGTTAAAAATGAAGCGAGCTTAATAAGTAACCAAGCTCCGCAGTCAGTACCCGGTGTGGGTGTTTCCCTTTGTCTGCTGTGTTCACTTCTTGGGATTCTCCCTGGGAGCAGAGGAGACTTCTCTGCGTGGTGTTAGAGACCCAGCTGTATTTCATTCATTAGCTTCATTGTTACTGTGTGAAGGGTCTTCTCCAAGGCGGGGCGGGAGGGAGCTCTGTTACTCGGGAATGAGCGGGAGCACCCTGCCTGCCTCCCGTGCTGCTCCGAGGCTTCCCTCCCAGGGCTGTGTCTTGCAAGCTCCCGGGGTCCTGGAGTGACGAGCCTTGTGCCTTGTTTCAGAGCTGGAGGACACAGGGCGGGCCGGCTCTGTCCAGGCTCTGCAGGAGCTGGCGGTGGAGGACACCGGGGACGTGGCTCTGTCCAGGGTGCACAGGAGCCCACAGTGGAGGACACGGGGGAGGCGGCTCTGTCCAGGGTGCACAGGAGCCCACAGTGGAGGACACGGGGGAGGCGGCTCTGTCCAGGGTGCACAGGAGCCCACAGTGGAGGACACGGGGGAGGCGGCTCTGTCCAGGGTGCACAGGAGCCCACAGTGGAGGTCACGGGGGAGATGGCTCTGTCCAGGTGCACAGGAGCCCACGGTGGAGGACACGGGGGAGATGGCTCTGTCCAGGGTGCACAGGAGCCCACAGTGGAGGTCACGGGGGAGATGGCTCTGTCCAGGGTGCACAGGAGCCCACAGTGGAGGTCACGGGGGAGGCGGCTCTGTCCAGGGTGCACAGGAGCCCACGGTGGGGGACACAGGGCGGGCCGGCTCTGTCCAGGGTGCACAGGAGTCCACAGTGGAGGACACGGGGGAGGCGGCTCTGTCCAGGGTGCACAGGAGCCCACAGTGGAGGACACGGGGGAGGCAGCTCTGTCCAGGGTGCACAGGAGCCCACGGTGGGGGACACAGGGCGGGCTGGCTCTGTCCAGGGTGCACAGGAGTCCACAGTGGAGGACACGGGGGAGATGGCTCTGTCCAGGGTGCACAGGAGCCCACAGTGGAGGACACGGGGGAGGCAGCTCTGTCCAGGGTGCACAGGAGCCCACAGTGGAGGTCACGGGGGAGGCGGCTCTGTCCAGGGTGCACAGGAGCCCACAGTGGAGGACACGGGGGAGGCAGCTCTGTCCAGGTGCACAAGAGCCCACAGTGGAGGAATCAGCAGGCCGGCTTGGTCCAGGCTTGGTCCAGGCTTGATCCAGGCTCTGTAGGAACCCGATGGGCAAACCCAGGAGCTCACCCCTGATGCTCAGTTTTTGCTCTGTTTGTTTTCAATCCAGGAGGTCTTTAAGGGCCTTGTTTTTTTTTAATGGTCTGTGATTATAGAAATTCACATATACAGATTAAGCACATAGGGTTAATTCCTACCCATGCTCCCACCCTCTCTCCTCCTCCTCTTAGTCTAATTTTTGCAGTGACACTGTTTCAGCTTACTTTATTTTTTCATTATTATTTTATTTTTTTTGACAGGCAGAGTGGACAGTGAGAGAGAGAGACAGGGAGAAAGGTCTTCCTTTTTGCCGTTGGTTCACCCTCCAATGGCCACCGCGGCTGGCGCACCGCGCTGATCCGAAGCCAGGAGCCAGGTGCTTCTCCTGGTCTCCCATGGGGTGCAGGGCCCAAGCACCTGGGCCATCCTCCACTGCACTCCCTGGCCACAGCAGAGAGCTGGCCTGGAAGAGGGGCAACCGGGACAGAATCTGGCGCCCCGACCGGGACTAGAACCCGGTGTGCTGGCGCCGCAAGGCGGAGGATTAGCCTAGTGAGCCGCGGCGCTGGCCTCAGCTTACTTTATAATCCTAAGCTCAACCTTCCACGAAGTAAAGGACACAACAGGTAGAAGGAAGAAACACTGTTCCTCAACAGTAGAGACAAAGGGCTGTAATCAATATTCAGTTCTCAGAATGTCAGTTTCACTCATATACATCGCATTTTTTTTTGTTCTATAAGTTACCACAGAGCAGGGAAAACACATTGTATTTGTCGTTTTGTGACTGACTTATTTCACTAAATATAATGGTTTCCAGGTGCATGCATCTTGTTGCAAAAGAGGATTTCATTCTTTATGGCTGAGTAGTATTCCGTGATGTACGTATTCACATTTTCTTCATCCAGTCACAGGTTGATGGGCATCTGGGTTGGCTCTGTATCTTAACTTGGGGGGTACAGATCACTCTTTCACAGGATGATTTCATTTCCTTTGGGTGAATTCCCAGGGGTGGGCTGGCAGGGTCGTGTGGTCGATCTCTTTTCAGATTTCTGAGACATCGCCATACTGTCTTCCATCATGGTTGTAGTAGTTACATTCTCACCAACAGTGCATTAGGGCACCCTTCCCCCCATATCTGCCAGCATTTATTGTTTTCTGATTCCTGAATGAGGGTCATTCCACCTGGGGTGAGGTGAAACCTCATTGTGGTTTTGACTTGCAGTTCCCTGATGGCTGGTGATCCTGAGCGTTGTTTCATGTGTCTGTTGGCCATTTGCATTTCATCTTTTGAAAAACGCCGGTTCAAGTCCTTTGTCAATTTCCTAACTGGATTGTTTTGTTGTTGTTGAGTTTCTTAAGCTGTTTATTGATTCTGGATATTAATCCTTTATCAGTTGTGGAGCTTGCAAATATTTTCTTCCTTTCTGTTGGTTGACTTTTAACTTTGTTGAGTGTTTCTTTTGCAATGCAGAAGCTTGATATAATCCCATTTGTCTATTTTTGCTTTGATTGCCCATGCTTCTGGGTTCTTTTCCAAGAAATGTTTCCCTAATGTTCTCCTCTAGTAATTTGATGGTATCAGGTCTTAGATTTAGCTTCTTGATCAATTTTGAGTAGATTCTTGTACAAGGTGTCAAGTAGTGGTCTTGTTTCACACTTCTGCCTGAGATGCAGTTTACAACTGAACGCTGGATGAGTCGCATGGAAGGTTGTGGCTGCACTAATTTCCTGTATGTGGAGATCCAGTTTTCCCAGCGGCATTTGTTGAAGAGACTGTCTTTGCTGCAGGGATACATTTTAGCAGTATGGGAGGGACCCAGCGCCTGGTGGGTTAAGAAAGCGCTTTCTCTCGCATCTTCTCCTCATTGTTCCCAGTGAGTAAGCCGCCCTCATCTTCCTACAGCTTGCTTTAATTACTCTGGGCGAATTCAAACAAGAGATATTGATCTTCCCTCTGGTTCACTCCTCAAAGGTTTGCAACAGCCAGGAGTGGGCCAGTCCAAAGCCAGGAGCCAGGAACTCCATCCAGGTCTCCCATGTGGGTGGCAGGGACCCAAGTGCTTGAACCATCACTGCTACCTCCCAGGGCGCACAGTAGCAGGAGCCAGGACTCAGACCACATACAGGATGTGGGTGCCCCAGGGGATGGCTTAACCACTGGGCCACACACTTGTCCCAGCCTTGCGCTTTTTGCTACCATGTGGTCGGCTGGCTTGTATCCATGAAAGGTCCCTTCTGGTCCAGCATATAATTTAGTGTCTCAGATACTGCAGCCACAAACAACCTTCCAAGAGACTCATGCAGTGTTCAGTTGTAGCCTGCATCTCAGGGAGCATGAACACATCACGTTTCTCTGGGAGTGGCTTGGTTTCACGGCAGCCCCAACTCCACACAGCACATGTGCAGGTGGGCCGTGGATGACCTGGTCCCCCACTCCCCGGTGAGATTCCTGGTCCCACCCAGTTCTGGTCTCTGCCCTGAGACTTTACCCGTAGCCATCTTTCACAGGTTTGGAGAACGTTTCTGCTCATTTCATTGCTCTGGGCAAAAAGTCCTTCCTTTCTTTTCCTGCCAAGTTTTTCTCAGGATCAGCGTGACCTTAACACAGAAGGAGCAGGAAATGATAAATATATTGATTCCTTTATTCACAGCCCGGCCAGCACTTCTCATGTCAACCTGGGGCTGGCAGCGAATGCTGCAGTCCAGTGAGCCACGCAGAAAACGACAGTAAGTGCTGTGTGTGGAGGAGGGCGGAGCCCTGGGGTCCTCGCCTGTGTGGAGGAGGGCGGCCGTGTCCTGTCCAGCCTCTCACGGCTATCTGACAGCGTGGCCTGAAAAGAAGTGAGCATTTGAGGACGTGGGAGAGAGCGACTGGCGTGGCGGGTGTCCATGAATTTGAATGGCTTTCTTTCCTGGGGGAATCTATGCTTTGGGTACAGAGCGGTGTGGCGATTAACATCTTTTTGAGAAAATGGCACAGATAGTCTCAGCTGTCACCTCTTTGTGGAGCCAGAACGTGCAGGAACCCGGGTTGTGCTGGGATTGTCCTGCGGTGAGAGTCTGGCTGGGAAGCAGAGGCAGACGCCAGTTCCGACCTCGTTTATCAGAAAGGCCACCCGTTCAGCTTCCTCTGTGTGGGCTCTGTGCTGTCCATCAACTGACCTGAACGTCAGCGAAGAGAGCTGTGTTATGTTTCTTGTGACCACGGTGGAGTGGCCATGTGAGCCCGAAGTGTGCGGGGCTGAGTCAGGGTGGAGACATCCTGCCCCCAGGCTGGCGTGCCTCTTCCCTCCTGAGGTGTATCTAGCATGGTCCACGGAAGATGTGTTCCCAGGCCCTGCGTGATTGTGCCGAACGCACTGTAAACCGTCTTCTCCCGTACGGGTGCGCCTTGGAGAAAGTTTACCTTATCCGCAAGGCACAGCAATAGTACAGTGCAGTGGCTCCAAAACCAAACTGGTGACATCGCCTACACGGCCACTCGTGCACTGCAGGGTCGTGGTGGAGTGCAGTGAGCGTCCACGAGCCCGAGCCCTGCCTTGGGGCTACAGAGCACCTGGCAGCCGAGATGGCTCCAGGCCGAGTGGTGGGCGAGTGGAGTGTGTGGTGTGGGTGCACTGGCCATGGGGGTGAGCCACGCCCTGGGTGGACGGGGAGCGGCTCCTTCACAGGGCTCTGCGTGCTGCTCGGCCGAAAACCCGAGTTGTTTATTTCTGGAGCTTTCCATGTCGTATTCTTGGGACCCCAGTTGGTTGTACGTAAGGAGGCTGCTGTACCCACGAGTGGACATGGAGCGGGGCACTGTTGAGGGGTGCGTTGCGTGGTTTTAGTTGGTGTTGGGTAAGGGTTTCAGCTCTGCAGTGGGCTGGGAGAGGTGGACGTTCAGTGCTCATTGAGCTGCAGGGAAGGAGACGAGCGGAGGCTTTCTGGAATCCCGGTCTTCCCGGTGTGATCCCGCCTTAGGGCAAGGCCACGTCCAGCCTTCCACCCACTCTCTCCCTCCCTCCCTCTCTGTTTCTGTCTCTTTTTAAAAAGATTTTATTTGTTTGAAAGGTAGAGTTACAGACAGTGAGAGAGGGAGAGACAGAGAGAGGTCTTCCATCTGCTGGCTCCCTCCCCAGATAGCCACAATGACCGAAGCTGCTTTCCCAGGCCACAGCAGAGAGCTGGATCAGAAGAGGAGAAGCCGGGACTAGAGCTGGCACCCATATGGGATGCCTGTGCCGCAGGCGGAGGATTGGCCTAGTGTGCCACAGCGCCAGCCCCCCGCCCCCTCTTACCTGCTGCCCGCGGCACGTGTGTTTCAGGCTGGAATCTCAGTGCAGGGAAGACTTGCGTGGGTGCTGTGTAGGGCATGTGTGACAGCTGGGACCGCTGGGCCCTCACCCTTGGCGTCAGGAGAATGTGGCTGTGACTCGTGCCCATCACCCTCAAGAGCTGCCTGCCCTCTGTCCCTCCTCTCCTCCGTACCCTCCCCCCGTCCCCCGCCTCTTATCCACTCCTTATGCTTGTCCTGAAATTCTTTGTGAGCTCCCAGGCTGGGATCACCATGCTGTGTTCAGTTCCAGAAATTCCTGGGCCAGGCATCTGGCTCTGGTTGGCACCTGTGTCCCATATCAGAGATGTTAGATTCGTCTCCTGGCTGTGCGTCCAGCCCAGCCCCCTGCCGGTGCACACCCGAGAGGCAGCAGGTGACGGCTCAAGGCTTTGGGTCCCGGCCATTCACCTGGGAGACCTAGATTGAGATCAGAGATCCTGGCCTTGGCCTGGCCCAGCTCTGGCTGATATGAATGTTTGGGGAGTGAATCAGCGGATGGAAGATCTCTGTCTTCTGCTTTTCAAATAATGAATAATAAATAAATACATTGTTTAAGAAAGCTGACTGATAGTTTTAAAGAAATTCATGAAATTTCTTTTTTTAAGTTCCTTATCGAAGGGACTTTTTGTTTGGAAAGCATAAACTAAATGAGAAGGGTCTTGGGTTTTGGAAAGACTCCAGTGGACTTGCCGTTTCATCCTGAGGAGGTGATGAGAGAGCAGCAGGCATTGCCGTGTCACACCTGAAGGCGATGAGGGCGTTGTCTAAATAACTGGGAATGGGAGGGCCAGCAGGGCAGGTGCATCGCAGATATTTCTCTCTGACTTCTCCTAGAAACTCAGGCTCAGCCTGGAGCCAGAGGAGGCACAGCCTGCTGCTGCACGCTCACGGTCTCAGCACCTGCACCTGCTCTGCACATCCCTGCCCCGGGCCGGCCGTGGCCTCACGGGTCTGCAGCCTGGTGTGTCTGGCTCCATGGAAACCGACTTTGTGCAGGAGTGCAGAGCAGTTACGCCAGGCATTGGGAGAAGCACAGCGTAAGGGGTGGAAGCTGCTTTGGTGTGTGGTGACCACCGCACAGTGGGCGTGGAGACTTCCTGTGCGGGCTCAGGGACGTGTTCTCCCTGACGTGTGCAGGAACAGAGCGGGTGTGGGCCGGGACCTTGCATCAGCTGACCACGCGGTCACAGTGGTAGTGTGGCAGAGTGTGGCTTGCCAAGGGCCTCTGCTGTCTCCAGAGTCACTTTTCTCACAGTCAGAAATTCCCCCAAGGGCAGGTGTTTAGCCCAGTGGCTAAGATGCCAGTAGAAGCGCACACATCCCACATCAGGTGCCTGCCCCCAGCTCCCTGCTAAGAATGTGCACCCTGGGAGGCAGCGGGTGATGGCTCGGGTAGCTGGGACCCTGCCACCCACGTGGGAAGCCTGGATGGAGTTCCCACCTCCTGGCTTTGGCCGGGCTCAGCCCTTGCTGGTATTTGGGGCTTGAGCCACTGAATGTGAGCTCTGTCAGTTTGTTTCTAATTTATTTACTAATTTAAATATTAAAAATAATTAATAAATTATTAAAATATTTACTAATTTAAATTAATTTACTAATTTAAATTAGTAAATAAAAATTCATAAAAAAATCTATCTCTTTGGGTCAAAAACGAAATCTAAGTCTGTTGTTAACCTGCTGTCAGTATCAGGAGACTGCCTTAAATAACACCTTAACACTTTAGCCTGAGGCCGGCGCCGTGGCTCACTTGGCTAATCCTCTGCCTGTAGCGCCGGCATCCTGGGTTCTAGTCCCGGTCAGGGTGCTAGCTACTAGTCCTGGTTGCTCCTCTTTCAGTCCAGCTCTCTGCTGTGGCCCGGGAGGGCAGTGGAGGATGGCCCACGTGCTTGGGTGCCTGCACCCACATGGGAGACCAGGAGAAGCACCTGGCTCCTGGCTTCAGATCAGTGCAGCTCTGGCCGTAGCGGCCATTTGGCGGGGCGAATCAACAGAAGGAAGACCTTTCTCTCTGTCTCTCTCTCTCACTGTCTAACTGTGCCTGTCAAAACAAAAACAACAACAAAATCAAAAACCTTAGCCTGAATGGCTTGATAATGGCAGCAAAACCTTGAGATAACAGGAAGCAGGACGGAGCAGTGATAGTGTCTACATACCTTATTTGCCGAGTTTATGGGCTGCAGTGTGGCGTTCAGTGCGCGTCTGCAGTGAGTGTGGGTCATGTCAGTGAAGCTCACCTTTCCCCTTCTTTGACATCACTTTATGATCAGGCTTGGCACTCGTCTCTTCTGTTTGTTCATTAAACATACACTCGTTTGTTGGGCACGGTCGTCACCCCACTGTGCTGGGCGGCAGCCCCAGGAACCCCTTCCTTTGCCTCGCTGGGATTTAGTGCCTGCCACCCATGCTCCCTCTGTCCCCGCTCCAGTGATCACCACTCCGCGCTTCTGCACAGGAGAGAGAACGCGTGACATTTGGCTTTCTGTGTGGGCTTGTCTCAAACCCAGCATCCTCCAGTGACAGCATTTGGTTCCTTTAATGGCTGAATAGCATTCCACTGACAGCGCTCACTCGTGGGGTGTCAACAGCTGGATCCTGTTAAGCTAGGGGTGGGCAGGAGCTGCGGGGCAGGATGGCTGGGGAGGGAGCAGGGCGTCATCCAGGTGCAGACGTATCCCTACTGTGGAGGTCACACCCAGCCCTGTGCTGTGGGGGCCTCTCTCTCCTACCAGGGCAGGAACCAGGTGGGAGACGCCCAGGCCTGCAGGGTTGCCTGGTTTTAGCCTATTCTGCCATTTAAATGTCCTCAGTCAAGATGGTCAGGCACTTCAGGAAACTTAAGAAATGCATGTAACTCCAGCTAGAAAACAAGCATTCTAACCACCTTTGTAAGCAACTCATAAAAGCCATAAGCCCAGGAACCCAAATGCTGGTAAAAACCAACCGCAGTGGGTCATTCGGATGGTGTGAAGTTTGTGTGTGCCCAAGCGTGGGGTTAGTTAGCTCCCTGTAGTTCCCAGTGTGGTTCTACGGTGGAGATGGAGGAAAGCGCCAGTGTGTGGACTGAGAAGTCCCTTCCTGTTGTGCTGATGGCCACGAGCTACCCTGGGCAGCTGTGTTCCAGGCTTCTCTAGACAGACCAGATGTTAGCACGCAGAAGGCTCAGACACGCCGCAAAGAGCCCAGGGCAGGGGCAGAGGACCAAGGAAGAGAAAGGGTAGACAGGACAGGGAGGCAGATGCCTGGGATCTCGGGAGCCCAGACCTCTGTGGGTAGGTTGAAGAAGAGGGTCAGTTAAGATGGAGCTCGACTGTGTGCACCGTGCAGGCTAAGTCTCATCTGGACCCACAGAAGGTGAAAGGACACGCTGGCTTCCTGGAGAGTCCTCCACTCTGTGGAGCCTGAGAGGCAAGGGTGACACCACCGCCTTCTGCCGTCCCCTTTTGAGGGGCATACTTCCCTCCTGAAATGCTTTCTATTAACCCTTTCCAGGAAGTGCATCTCAGGGGTGGGAAGAGGAGCGAGTGGTAGGGGTGCACCCTGCATTACTGGGCTGGGGTGCAGGCAAGAGTGGACCCTGAGCCCCGCAGATCCACCTTTTCATTCCACAAGCTCTGCCTTGGCTGTCGCTGCGGGGCGCTGATGTCAGCTGGTGAGCGTGTCCCTTGCTGGTTACGGCGGCCAGGCCAGAGGCTGACCCCAGACGGTCCAGGATCAGAGAACCACAGGCACCCGGATCCCAGCCTCTGCAGCAATCTTCCAGTAAGGATGTGTGCATGGACGGAGGCCGTCCTGCCTGCTTCTCCAAGTGGCTCCCACACACAAGTGCTGCTGAACAATTTATTTTTCAGATAATACCAGGCGCTGGCTGGAAGACATGCAGCAGGGAAACACAGTAATTAATTAGCCACTGAAACCTGAGGGGTCCGGCTCCACTTATAGGTGATAATGAATGTTCTGCATGTAATTAGCACGAATAATTAGCACATTCCGTGGTAACAAATCCACTGACTGGTACTCTGCAAACAACATTAATTGTTGTGCTAACAGAGGCAATTGTGTCTGTTTATTGTCTGACAATGTCCCGTATTTACACTAATAGCTACTCTAGACCTCTGTGTGGCTTCCTGCAGGAGGGAGGGGAGTCTATAAAACCGTGCCTCTTCCGTCTGCTTCTCAGAAGTTTCAAGACCACCAGGGGACTTGTTTGTCAAAACTCGTTAAGCAATTTGTAATCTTTAACATGTGTTTTACTGTATTAGTGGATGAACCGTTCAAATCAACTGGCTGGGTAAGTCGGCCATCGATCAAATGCTGACATTTTTTAACTGTAGGAACTTTGTCTACTTTCAGCCCTCCCTGGAAAGGGAATATATAAAAATGTTAAACTTAGGTTGGGCTGGTGCGTTGAGAGGTGGTTGCAGGCATACAACTGCAATGCCTTTTTATTCCACAAAGCTCCAGTTGACTGACAGAGGGAGGAGCCACTGCAAGGCGGAACCTGTGGGGCGAGGGGCGGGTCCCTTGCCTGCCAGGAACACACTAGGGCTGTCTGCTGCCCCCACAGCAGGTAAAAGCCACACACAGTAGGCTACTTTCTAACTGACTTTGGAGCGGGTTTTTCAAATGTTTGAAGCTTACAGCAGGGGGAAGTAACTGGTGAAAAGGCATGTTCTAGCAAATTCTTAGGCTACAGGGGATCCCTGTGGGCGCCTATTTGCATTTCACAGGCGCTGAATGGAGATGGAATGGAGGCTGTGGTGATGGTGGAGGACCAGACCTCCTGTGCTGGCCTGGTTTCTCGGCCATGCCCTTGAGAGGTGACGTGTGGCGCTTACGGCCGCCTGTGTGGATATCTGGGCCCCTTCGTGGTTGCCTTTTGGGACCCAGAGGTCAGGATCGGCGCTGTTGTAAGGCCGTCACAAAACACCAAACGCCGGAGTCAGAGAAAGCATTTATTGGTGGGGGAAACCTGAGAGACAGGAGGGAAGGGGCGAAGAAGGAAAAGAGAGCATGAGAGAGAGATCGACAGAGCGAGTGAGCCACGTGTTCAGGAACAGGTCCCGTTAAACCTTTGCCGGGGCAGGCAGGGGAGTAGGAGCTTCGAATCCCGTTAGGGTGGGGTGGAGCTGACACCTGTGGTTGGGCCATGTGGCCACCTGGCTTACAGCAAGGGGGTGGGCGGGGCTAGAGCCTAGGATGGCGTCGGGGGCGTCCGTTGCGCCACAGATAAGACTGCGCCATTTTACTAACAGCTATCACTCCACTTCTGTTTCTACCTCGTGTTCCCAGCTGCGTGTCAGCGGCTTCAGTCCAGAGCATCACTTTGCTCCCAAATAGCTACAGATTGTCTGACTCCAGGTTGGTTGTCGGCCTCAAAATTCCTGTCTCTTGATGAGACCTCTGTGTTATCAGCCATAGAGTCTTGGTACCTCGGGGTCTCCTTCTCTGCCTGGTTCCAACTGATTTCCAAGTCATCCCTGCTGTGTTCTGCCTCACAGCCCTCTGCTAGTGTTCTGCTGCCCCTCTGTTATTTGCACCGTATTTTTGGAAGAGATAGAGACCTCTCGGTCCACTGGGTCCCTCCCCACGTGCCTGCAATGGCCAGGATTGGGCCAGGCTGAAGCCAGGAGCTGGGAATTCAATCCAGGTGCAGGGTTCACGCACTTGAGCCGCCATCTGCGGCCTCCCAGGGTGCACGTTAGCAGGGAGCTGGAAGTGGAGAAGCTGGGACATGAGCCCAGGCACTCTGAGAGGGGGTGCTGGCATTCCGGGTGGCATCGGAACGTCTGTGTCCAGTGCCCCTCCCCAGGCCTACCCAAGCCCTCCCCAGGAAACAGGCTTTGCTTTGGCTTCTGTTCGCCCTGGACATGGTCAGTGTCTTCACCCTCCTGAGAGCCGTGTGTGCTGTGCCCTTCAGTGGCTCAGGGGCAGCTCTGGGCCCATGCTTGATGTCCAGAGCCCAGCTCCTCAGGGGATGCCCACAGCTGTCCGTGGCTGGGTGCTGGTCGCGTGGACGTGGACGCACACTGCTAGACACTCTGCACACAGATGCTCACCTTGGAACTCCAGGCAGCCCCTGGCCGGCCCGCCCCCTCCTTCCTCCGTCTCTCATCCAAGTCTGTCCACCTCGCACAGCTCCACTCTCTGCAGAAGCCTCCTGACCACCAGCAGGAACCCAGCACAAAGCTCTCGTCCAAAGCCCGCCTCACCTTGGGCCGATGGTTTGGTCAGGCCTCAGCTGTGAACTCACTCCTGGCATTTGCCTCCCCGTGTGTTTCTTGTCTGTGCAGCCAGAGGCCTCAGGGCCCGGGGCGGGGCCTGTTTGTGGTTTCTGATAATTCAGTTTTGTAGCAGTCACTTTTTACATTTGCTCCAAAATGAATTTTGTCCTTGAAATTGTCCTTTCTTTAAAAAGTTTTTTTTTTTTCCCTGTTTTTTATTTGAAGGATGGGATGACACAGAGAGATATTATCTGTCTGCTGGTTCACTTCCTAAATGACCACAATTGCTGGGGCTGGGCCAGGCTGAAGCGTAGGTCTCCTATGTGGGTGGCAGTGGCCCAAGCACAGGGGCCATCCCTGCTGCTTTCCCAGTGGAGCAGCCGGGTCCCGAACCGGCATCGCAAGCATTGTTTCCTTGTTTTCACCCAGGGGAGCGTCTGAGCTCCCAGATGTCCAATCAGGTTGTATCACACCGCCCTAAATTTCATTCTGCTTTTCTTTCTTCTCAGAGAGTGAACTCCTTGATGGGAGGGTCACATCCAATTAGCCTCGTATCCCAGCACCTAGCAAAGTGTGCGTGCGTGCGTGTTTCACTGTGCAGAAAAAGTGAGACTGGTTTCTTTTTTTTTTTTTAAGATTTATTTTATTTCTTTCGAAAGAGCCACAGAGAGGGAGACACACACACACACACACACACACACACACACAGAAGGCTTCCATTTGCTGGTTCACTCCTTAGATGGCTCCATTGTTCATTGTTGCTTGGCCAAGCCGAAGCCAGAAGCTACATTTGTGTCTCCCGTGTGGGTGGCAGGGCCCCAAACACTTGGACCATCTTCCATTGGTTTTCCCAGGCCACTGGCAGGAAGTGGAGCAGGCAGGGCATGAACTGGCACCCGACATGGGATGCTGGGGTCTCTGGTGGTGACTTTACCTGCTGTTCTACAATGCCAGCCCTGATGAGGGTGATTAAGTAAAGCCATAGGACAGTTATTTTTCTTTTCATCTTCTTGTAGCAATTTTTTTTGTGGCAGTAGAATTTTATTTATATTTAGAAACTTGAAATTTTTAAAAGATTTATTTATTATTTATTTATTTGCATGGTGGAGTTACAGAGAGAGAGAGAAAGAGAGAGATACTGTACTGTTGGTTCACTCTCAAAATGGCTGCAACAGCCAGGGCTGTGCCAGACAGAAGCCAGACACCTGGAGCTTCTTCTGGGTCTCCTCCGTGGGGACCGGGGTCCAAGCGCGTGGGCCTCCTCTGTTGCTTTCCCAGGCCATCGGCTGGGAGCAGGATGGGCTCTCCAACAGGCACCCTTATGGGATGCTGGCATCTCAGGCAGCGGCTTAACCCTCTATGCCACAACGCCAGCCCTGAGAAACTGGAATTTTCGAGTTCTTACTTTTGAGAGGCAAGGCAAATATTTTGTGAGAGCTTCCTCTTTTGGCACATTTACCCGTGGCTTTAGCCAGAGTAAGTGAAAGCCAGTTTTCCTGACCTCTCGCTTTTCAGGCCTGTGAAATCCCTTGAGTTTAGAGTGAGTCTTCCTGGATCCTGACTGCAGCTTACGGAGATGCCTTGTGTAGGGTGGAAGGGGCACTGCAAAGTGGTCGTGGAAAAAGGAACGAAAAGGTGAAGATTTCACTGCAAAAAGATGGAAATCCACGCCTAGCTTTTTCATAACACGCGTTGTCATAAGCTTCTTGAAAACTCTTTGCAGGCACGGATTTCAAATTGCTTTTTTTGCACCAAAATAAATTTACCTTTTAATTCAATTATCCCAGACATTTTGAAGTACCCTCAAGGTATATCTCCAGGAGTCCCACCCGTCTGGTGGACAAGATGCCATGTCGTTTGTTTTGGTGATCAAACTTTGAAATGCAGGGTGGCTGTTCTAAGGGAGAAAGTTCTATAAGCAAAACTTCAACAAGAGGGAAGCTCATTCTACATCTTCTTGGTATTGCGACTGGTTTTAGCATCCCGAGTGGAACTGACTTATTTTCTCACGCATCTGGGATTTGCATTTCCTGTTTCCTTCATGTGGCCTTGATTAAATCCATAAAATAAATAGGGAGGTTTTATTAGGCTGCAAATGACCTGGGATTGCTTTACTTTGCTTAGCGTTTGGCAAGAGTGGGAGAGTCAGCAGGATTCCCGTCTTTCCTCTTAGGGACAAGTTGGGTTCCACGGCAGGTTGGCATGTGCACCTGTGTGTATATGTGCACGTGTGTGTATATGTAAGTTGGGTTCCACGGCAGGTTGGTGTGTGTATGTGTGTGCACCTGTGTGTATATGTGCACATGTGTGTATATGTAAGTTGGGTTCCACGGCAGGTTGGTGTGTGTATGTGTGTGCACCTGTGTGTATATGTGCACGTGTGTATATGTAAGTTGGGTTCCCCGGCAGGTTGGTGTGTGTATGTGTGTGCACCTGTGTGTATATGTGCACGTGTGTGTATATGTAAGTTGGGTTCCCCGGCAGGTTGGTGTGTGTATGTGTGTGCACCTGTGTGTATATGTGCATGTGTGTGTATATGTAAGCAGTAGGCACTGTAAGTATTTTGAATGCATGTAACATGCCAGAATTCAGCCTCTCCCTGGTCTTGGATAGAATCCTATGTTTAGGCCGTGTGGACATTCGCTTCCATTTTTGAGCCCAGCTGGCTTCTGGTGTGGACTGTGTGTGATCAGCTCATCACTGGGAGAGAGTGTGGCTGGCAGCTGGGTGTGGGGGCAGCTCCGGGGCCGGCTGCTGGCGAGGACTTCTGCACACGCCCAGGGGAAGGGGTGTGGAGGCTCAGTGGGGCAGGGTGCATTAGGGGTGTGTGAATCCTGCCCTTCGGTCAGGGACTCCCAGAGTTCCTGTGAGCAGTCTGACAGCTGTCAGTCTGTGACTTTGCCTTCTCGCTTGCACGCAGGCTTTGACTGCGAGGACACAGTAGGTGAGCAGTAGGGGGAAGGAGGCATGGAGGGTCCCTGCCCGTGCGTTCGGAAATGAAGTCAGGCGTCTGTGCTGCTCTGGGCGTTTGCTGATGGCAGCAAGCAAATGATCTTCAGGTCTCCGCAGTCAGTCGCCGAGTTAAGTTCAAGCTGGAGAAGCTGCTGTCCGGATGTTGAAACCCTGACCTACTAGAACGTTCTTCGTGGCAAAGTCTGAGACGACTCCAGGGTCGGAGAGTCGGTGACTCAGGCCTGTGATTCTTGGAACACGTGGGGAATCCTTGCTCTTCTCTCCCGTGCGGTAGCCGGAGGCAACCTGTCAGCAGATAGGTTCCGGCCTGGTGTCGTGGGGCAGGTCGATTCCTCCCTCTGCCCGCAGCCCTGTGTTTCTCAAACTTCACTTACTGGTCTGACGCACCCCTAGCCAGAGCGATGGACTCAGAATGATTTTAAGTTCAGGTAATTACGTCTCCGAGTGTTTGGCATTTAAACTTCAGAGCTGAATTGGGAGCCTGGTCTCTCTGTATCTGCTGTGACAAACGTCCTTGAACTAGTCCGCTCGATACTCAGCTGCAGACATCATCAGGAAATGGAAAGAGGGAGTCTTTCTCCATTGATCATTGGGCAGGCAGCAGCCCCTGGGGGCAGAAGGCTGTCCTCTGAGCTGGGGTGTCTGGTTTTCTCCGCCCCTCGTCCAGGGCATTGTGGAAGGAGATGAGATCCAGGAGTGGTGACTTTCCTGTCTTAGTTGTTCACATGTAGGCTGATATCTGCTACTGTTGCAAGGCATTTACATATGGTTACAGGACGTATGTCCTGGACCTGCCTGGGGCTTCTTAGTGTTCAAGGGTGCACATCAGAAGTCCTTGACTCTTAGGAGACAAGCTTCCTCACACTTGCGGGTACTCTGTCAGCTGCTGGGTGTGACCTGAATGATTTTAAAAGGCTTATTTATTGGACTTGGCACTGTGGTGCAGTGAGCTAAGCTGCTGCCTGCGATGCCAGCATCACTTATTGGAGCGCTGGTTCGAGTCCCGGCTGCTCCACTTAATAGTTTAGCTCCCTGCTAATGCACCTGGGCAAGCAGCAGAGGACGACCCAAGTGCTTGGGCCCCTGCGCCCACATAGACCCCGATGTAGCTCTCTGGGTTCCTGGCTTTGGCCTGGCCTGGCCCTGGATGTTGTGGGCATTTGGGGAGGGAAGCAGCAGGCGGGAGCTGCAGTGGGAATGCAGGCACTCTGATATCGGATGCAAGCATCCCAAGTTGGGTCTTACCTGCTGCACCGACTCCTGCCCCTCTATGTAAGTTTTGAGCAAGACAGGAGTAAATGTCGCAGCGTACCCAAGGTGTTTCCAGAGGGTGGTGTGAAGTTTCTTATTGGTACAGAAAAATTCTCTTCTGAGGGAGAAAGGTTCCTTTGCCTAAGGAAGTCAGATATGGGCTGGTGCTTCAAGAAGTGTGTGGCGAATGGAGTTAAAGGACAGATTGATTCTGATTTTGGTGCAAAAGGTTTTGAACCACGCATCGTGTTTTCATCACACACATTTTCCTGTGAACCTTTGAAGAGCCCTCACACTCTCTGTGTGTCAGGAACACGTGTGAGCCACCTGCTCCTTCAGGTGTGTGAAGCAGGAGGCTTCCGGTGAGCCTGAGCCACACACCCAGTGCCATCTGACCGGCAGTCGCAGCAAGGGCCCACGCTGGAGGGAGTGACTGGAACTGCGCCAGCGCGGATGGAGGAGAAAGAAGCGGGGCTAGAGACTGGAGACGTGTACGGCAATGTCACTGAGCCCGACGCTTGCTAGGGGTTGCAAGTGCCCGAGTGTGTCTTCTGTTTGTCCTCTGCGTGCCCACATGCAGGTGTTTCTGATCCTGTTGGTTTCACAGGTGAGTTGGAGCTCATTGCCTAAACATTTAGCCTGCTTGCTTTAGATGCCTCTCTGAACTTTGAAATACGTTCCCAGCCTCTGCTGATGACTTTGCACCACACCCTAGGAATACCGATCGGCAAGGCACCCAGCTCCTGCCGCTCCTGGGCACCACGCCTACCCCAGCACTGCACATGCTGGCTCTGTGATCTGCCCCACCGGCAGCCCCTCTAAAGCAGCAGCCGGGGCCAAGCTCCAGTAACTGGCACCAGGTAGGCGACAAAAGTATTCTCGTTGGATTCTCACGACAGCGCTGAGGTATGCTGGGAAGAGAGGAGGAAACCCAGGTTCAAAGAGACAGAGCGTTGCTCGCCTCACCGTCTTGTGATGGACCCAGGCCTCTGCAGTGCAGGGCTTGCTTTGCACCTGCCCAGTGAACCAGGAGCAGTCCCCAGGCATACCCGGAATAGCTGGGTAAACAAGCAGCCCGAGTCCTGTGTGTTGTCATCCATTGCCCCGTGAGCACGCCGTGTGCTGCATCCCAGTGTTTTCTGTGCGTGGGCTTGGCTTGTTTCTCCCTGGGGGGTTCTTGTATGGCTGCCCTGTTACAGACAGATACACAGGTGGGTGGAGCTGAGGGAGCTGTCACCTGCTGCTGCCTGGTGTTTTTTGAAATTAATTAATTATGGCAGAGTGGCACACACAGGAGAGGGAGGGAGGGTAGGAGAGGGAGAGGGAGAGAGAGAGAGAAATATCTTCCATCTACTGGTTCACTCCCCACATGGCTGCAAGGGCTGAAGCCAGAGTCTGGAGCTGTATCTGAGACTTGCACGTGGTCGACAGGGGTGGGGTTCTTGAGCTGTCATCCAGGGAGCTGGATTGGAAGTGGAGCAGTAGGATGTGAACCAGTGCCCATATGGGACCTGGAGTGGTAAGTGGTGGCTTTACCTGCTGTGCTACAGTGCCAGTCCCTCTAAGCCCATTCTTATAGAAGGCTAGGTAAGGGTCCCCATGTGGCCAGACATGCCCCTGCCCCAACCAAAGTCATGGCCTCCACACGGGCACGCATGAGCTGGGGGAAGGCACACAGCACAGTCACTGCTCCTTTTGCACCTGGGTGACCCAGCGTGGTCCCTGTCCCTGGGCCAGGCCGTTTTCTGCATGTTTTCAGTTTCTGGAGTCTCACTGTTCACTTGCCTACCCCATGGCCAGTAGAGACGACCCTGGAGGCCAGCATAGGCCACCGAGAGATCAGAGGTGCCATCTCCAGCCCTGCACAGCTGCCTGAGCCCATGGCCCCACCGCACGGCTGGGTCAGGGACAGCCAGGGTGTGCTCAGGGTGTGGGTACCGCTAGAGCCCCACCCACCCTCAGGCCTTTCTCAAGGGTCATCTTTCATAGAACGTTTTTAATTTGTTGATTCAACATAAACTTCATTTCTTGGAAATGTTTTTGACAAAAGACGCAACCTCAGCAATGCACTTTATAAATATAGACAGTATTTGGGCTGGCGCTGTGGGGTACCAGATAAAGCTGCGGCCTGCAGTACTGGCATCCCATATGGGCGCCAGTTCGAGTCCCAGCTGCTCCACTTCTGATCTACCTCTCTGCTATGGTCTGGGAAAGCAGTAGAAGATGGCCCAACTTGCTGGGTCCCTGCACGCACGTGGGAGACCAGGAAGCTCCTGGCTCTTGGCTTCGGATTGGCGCAGCTCCAGCTGTTGTGGCCATCTGGGGAGTGAACCAGCAGATGGAAGACCTCCCTCTCCCCCTCTCCCTCTGCCTCGTCTCCCTCGTCTCCGTCTCTCTGTGTAACTCTGACTTTGAAGTAAATAAATAAATCTTTAAAAAATAAATGATGGTATTTAGTGTGGGAGCCCAAACACAAATGGTCCATGCTGTGTGCTTCCCCAGGCAGCTGGCTGCTGGATTACCCAGTTGCAGGCACACACCTGACGCACAGATACCCCTACATTGGTACACACACACTTGAGACATACTCCTCACACATGTCTGACACACACATACCCCTACATACTTGACACACACCTGAGAATACCTCCCACACACTTGAAACACACACGAGACATACACACACCTGACACACATGCACCTGATACCCCCCACGTGCCTGAGACACATGAGACACACATACACGAGGCATGTACATGCAATATATACACACCAACACACACAGCTCACATTCAACACATATATACACACATGTATACACACTTGACACACATACACACACTGCTAACACACATCTAGTACATTGCCAATGCACCCATAACATACTTCCCAACATGCAAACACCAGACACATGCAAGGGACACATATGCAATACATATATACACACAAACCTCAACATACATAAACCAACACACACTCCAATACACACACATACACCCTAAATACATACTTGAAATACATGCAACGCACACACATACCAACATACATAGAACCAATGTACACATCCCAACAGACAGAAACCCATCACACACGTGCACATGCTGATATGTATATACACTGATACATACTCCCAACACACACACACACACTGTACATGCACATATACTGAAACACACAAACTTACACCAACATACACATACCAATACACACACATACCACCTCACCTCCAAACACACATGCATTAGTATATACATGCATGCACACAGACATCCTCAACACATACCTGTACACACATATCCTCTGACACACATGCACACTCACAATCCTCTAACACAGACATGCACACAAATTCTCACATGTGTACACCCTCTACACACATGCACACTCACCTAACCCACAATCTCACACATACGCACATCATCGGACACACACGTACATATGCATCCTCTGACACACGGATACACATCCTCTGACACACTCACATGTGCACACACATCCTGTGGCATACACACACATGTGCACACACATCCTACGAGACAGTCACGTGTGACATCCTCTGACACACATTTATACATGCATCCTCTGACACACTCACATATGCACACTCATCTGACACACTCACATGTGCACACCATCCTCTGAGACAGTCTTACACATGTATACACATCATCTAACACACACATGCGCACATGCATTTTCTGATAGAGACACATATCTCTGACACACACATGTGCACACACTCATGTGTAGACACCTCTGACACACTCATGTTCACACACATCCTTTGACATACACTCACATATGTACACACATCCTCCACATGCACACTGTCACACGTGTGTACCCACAGCCTCACACATGCATATACATCCTATGACACATGCACTCACATGTGCACACACATGTACATACATCTGATACATTCACATGTGTGCACACCCACACTGTTTGAGGGAGTTTCCTCCTTTAGCTTTGTTTTCACTGTGCTACCAGGGAAGTGGTGAGAAGTTCAAGTCTTGTAGTCTCATTACTGAATTTGAAAAATACTGGAAAAGACGCTGGAGTGCTGCATATTGGCATAAAGATATGCAGATCGCTCAGAGTTACAGTGTGCTCTGTGAGTGTTGGCTTTTTTGTGCCCAAGATTTCGTATTTAAATTCAACAGTATTCAATGGCCTCCACAGAAACATGGTTTTTATTATACAGCTGTAAGTTGGCCATGAACACAATATAATAATGTAATAGAACATTTCACTGTGTTTGGAGAGAGAGGATTTTTATAGTTATCAAATTACAATCACTGTATTCTCAAGGTACATAAATGAATTCATTACTCAGGGCAGATTCAAGCATAGAATATTATTTGAATAATGTAAGCCCTTAAGAATATATTTAATTATTCTTAAAATAAATTTTACATTGATAGGACTTGCATTCATGATTCAAAAACGGTGTAGAGTGCAAGGAATATAAAAACAGAATAATTATAAAGCCAGATATAAGGACATCTGTGTGTTGGTAGTGGGTATGTTCAGATAATTATTTTGGAGATGGACGTTTGGCACAGTGGTTAAGACACTATTTAGGACACCTGCACCCTGTATCAGAGTGCCTGGGTTCAAGCCCCGTCTCTGCTTCCGACTCCAGCTTCCTGCTAATGCACACCCGGGGAGGCAGCAGGTTCAAGTCCTTGGGTCCCTGCCACCCACGTGAGAGATTTAGATTGAGGTTTGGGCTCCTGGCTTCTGCCTGGCCCAGCCTTTGCTGTTTTGGGCGTTCACCGAGTGAACCAGCAGATGAACGATCTTGGCCTCTGCTTCTCTGCCTTTTAAATAAATTTTTAAAAGGAGAGAGGCGCCTTTCTCTGAAGGGAGGAAGGAACCTCCACTGTGATATGGCCTTGACTAAACAAGTTCAGAGTCAGTGAACTCAAGGGGCTTCCATAGCCTAGACAGCTCATAGCAAGAGCCTCAGGGGATTGCTGACGTCATAAATAAGAGTGCCAGTTGTTAAATCAACAACGGGAGTCACTGGGTACAGGCTCCCCACGTAGGATCTCTGTCCTTAATGTGTTCTACTATGAAACTTAAAATACAACACTACTAGTCGAACAATACCCTATACCTTGTGCGGTTGTGTGAGTGCAGCCTGTTGAAATCCTTGCTTAGTATATACTAAGTTGATCTTCTGTATATGAAGGTGATTGAAAATGAAACTCAATGAAGGGCGGGATGGGAGAGGGAGTGGGAGAGGGGAGGGCCACGGGAGGGAGGGAGGTTGGGGGGGAAGCCACAACAATACAAAAGTTGCATTTTATATTCTACTTAAAACTATTGGTTGAACTCTGTAATTAATACACAATTACTCTTAGGTGTTTAATGCTATAACTAGTACTCAAATAGTATTTTATACTTTGTGTTTCTGTGTGGATGCAAACTGTTGAAATCTTTACTTAATATATGCTAAATTGATCTTCTGTATATAAAGATAATTGAAAATTAATCGTGATGTGAACGGAAGGGGAGAGGGAGTGGGAGAGGGGAGTGTTGTGGGTGGGAGGGACGTTATGGGGGGGAAGCTATTGTAATCCATAAGATGTACTTTGTAAATTTATGTTCATTAAATAAAAAGAAAATTCACGTGCTGGTCAGTACGTGCACATGCAGTGTATGTGTGGCATGGGTGTGTGTATGTGTGAAGTATGGTGTGTGTGCTTGTGTGTGTGCATGTGTCTGTTCATGTGCTGTATGTACATGTGTATGTATGGTTTATATATGGTGCATGCGTGTACATGTGTGCATGCATGTATGCTGTGTGCATGCATGTTGATGTCATGTTTGGTATGTGTGCATTGTGTGCACATGTCTGATTGTGTGCAATGTGTGTATGGTTTGTTTATGGTGTATGCTTGTGTGCATGTGTGTGTATGGCATGTGTGTGTGCATGTGTCTGTGTGCTTGTGTGCATGTGAGCTGGGAAGCCAGCGACAGTGAGTGCTGACGCGTCTGCTGTGGCACTGAGCCTTGCCTGCCTAGATCGTGCTGTGTTTCGGCACCGACTGAAACAAGTGCCCTGGCCCGCGGGCTGCTCCTTGCACACATTTTCCTGGACCTTCGTGATGTTGCTGGGGACACACATTAGTGCCCCAACTCCGAGAGCGTAGTTGTAATGAGACGAGTGCACACAGCTGCTTGCAGAGCCAGGTGTTTTCTCATGGAAGCCATCAGCTTCCAGCAGGACATCCTGGAGGGACCCGCAGGGGAAGAGGAACCGGAGGCCACGGAGACA